ACTTATTCATTTTTCATAGGCTCTTAAAGCAGTATAGGGTACCAGATGGCCTGTTGGATAAACGGGCTGAATTTTTTTTTATATTGGATGGGATCGAGTCACGATTGTAGATTAAATATATGTATGGCTCAATATGGCTGACCGTTAGACGTGCTTCTCTACTAATGTAATGGAAGACTTTTTTACAACCTTCACGAGTTGTTTGAAGAAAGGGAGGCCGAATGCTGTTCTGCACGATGTCTTCTTATCTGATTGGTAGCTTACACCACAAATGCAACTGGGCTTGGTAGCACGATCGGAGTAACGACGCAGCCGCACAAGTCATGTTGGACAGTGGGTACCCTCATTTTTCTCTATCAATAAGTTCTTGATAATTGCATGTTTGACTTTTGTACTGTTTTAGACAAGCTGTGTTGATTATGACAGAAACCTTTGAGGGAAAGCTGGCTGTAGACCTGGAGTATTCTTCTTAATAAATAACTAGTCGGTCTTGTTCCAAGTGTTGCGCTACATTTTCTTAGGTAGATGTGTAACCGGTTACTCGCTATGTGCATAAAGACCTGTTAAGACGCATAGACAGGCGGTACGTTTTGGCATGCTGCATTGAGTGTAACGAGATCCCCTTACTAAGTGGGGCGAAAGGGTAACAATGGTAATGTTGTGAAAACTCGGTTATCAACGCCTTTCTCTAACACAAGTTCTTTTCTAAGTGCTTAAAAGATATTAACTAATAGTAGTTTGAATCAGAAATGAAATATTTCTCGTTTCAATCTCCAGTTTCGTAAAATAGAGCCAGATAACTCACAAATAATTCCCCTTGGTGGCGGCATCCAGTAAAGTTCAAGAACTGTTCAGCCTCTTTCCTTTATTTTCTAAAGGTTGCTAGCTTTAACTAACCACAAACCAGCGGTAGCTAGATAAAGTCCTAGACGAATCCGCCAACAGCTTGCATAACGGCAGCACACACTTTATGTGGACTTTACAGCGGCGCCTTCGAGCCAGGTCGTGTTCATGAAGTAATGGCACTCTGCTCAAATGAGTAAGCAGGCAGCCTCGGTCTTGCAGGTGAATGGTCTCCCTGGAAAGAAGAAAATCTCGATGAAGAATGGACAGGTCATCGGCAATGAGTTGAGTAGAGTTTAGGGTGCTAGTGGCTGGCTAAGCTATTTAGCTCTCAGCTGAACTATGCTCGTATTGTATCCCGATAGGTGTTTGGTTTGGCGTCATCAAAGGGTTTGCTACCTGCTCCGTGCTTAAATGGGTCAGCAGCATGGTGCCAGTTTCTTGGAGTGTTTTTGTGCGTGCATTAACTTGGCCTGGAGCTGGGCGCAACTTTCAGTGTAATATATAAGCGTTGCAAGGGTAGTCTGAGTATGGCATGGTGAGCCATGTTCTGATTGCAATGTGTTGGGGGGTCATGCAGTACTGTGACCTTTTCCCGTTGGTCGCGCATCCTCTCTGTTGGTTGGCAGCGACTCCGCCGTCACTACGAAAGTAGTCAGCCACTTACACTTTGTCGACAGCGTTTGCATTCTAAGAGGTTTTGATTGGCATTGGACGTTCCGTGCACCACATCCACCAGCAACGTTCGAACCCACTAAAACTGATGGAGAAGGCAATAGGTCTTGGTTTCGTGATGAATTAGGCAGAAGCCCCTTTTTAATTTGGTCTCTGCCTACGCTATCAGGCTGCTTATATTTAGGTGTAGCCCTCGGAAATTGAAATACACACTCTCAACGTGCAGGGTCAACTTTTCAATACTCCTTGTTCAACGTCCTCCCGTACAGCATTTTCTCATTCATAACTACCCAAGCATCTTGTCGTCGACACTCGGCCTGCTCTCAGATATGTCTACCGAAGATTCAGAGGCGGCTTCGCGCCGACATTACCAAATCAATACCACTATCAATTCGTGGAAGGCCCGCCATGCGAACGTTGACCTTTCACCGCCTCAAGAATTTCCCGGCCTTCAAACTACATTTCAGGCTATAATGTCCGAACGTAAAGTGAAACCCTTGGATATACCCTTCTATGTTAAGATGCTCCAGGATGCGGAAGTACGACGAGCAGCTACTGCTTGTGCAGAAATATTTGAGAGGATGGATAAAGAGCTCTTTTTCGGATTGTGTCAGAACCTTGGCCCTAGCCTTTGTCAAGAGTGGTTCAACGAATTTAAAGGCATCAATCAACTTACAGAAGACATCACGCCGTCAAATAATGGCACCCAGTTGAGTCCTGGACAGACCGCCGACGATCTCTATTGTATTAGAGAGTCTTCTCCGTCAGAAGATGGAGGAAAGGAGCCGTGGAAGGGATTCTCTCGGAAAATTATCTATGATCCTTCGACTGCCGAAAATGAATCTTTCCAGTCGGCAGAGCTCACCAGTCCTCAACCAAACGAGGTTGGATATACTGATAGATTGGACCATGAACCACGTACGTCGCCTGTCCGCCTCCGCAAAATAGGACAAGACGAAAATCAACGTTCAAACAAGCGTCATTGCAGGCGAAAACCTCAAGACACGCAAGTTGACCTTGATGATCAGTATTCTTCCGACCAATCGGAGGACACAGCACCATTCACCGATGACGATTCGGAAGCCCGCACCGGGTTCTATGGCGACAAGGGCATCGAGAACGGCTTCAATGAGGTCAACAAAGACCAGGTACATCAATCCACCTAGCAGACTTCACATCGGCTCTTCGAATTTGCGAATTGTCACCCTTTTATCGAAGGATTTAACCTTGGTCACTCTTTTTTCTTTCTTTCTTTTCTTTTTCTTTTTTTTTTTTTT